CTGCCAGTCTGTCTGTCTGTCTGTCTAACTGTCTGCCTCTTTGTCTGAATGTCTGTCTGTCTGTATGTATGTATGTATGTATGTCTGTCTGTATGTATGTATTTATGTGTGTGTGTGTGTGTGTGTTTGTGTAAGTAGGTATGTCTGTGCGCATCTATGTGTCGATGTATCTATGTAGGTAGGTACGCAGGCCTGTAGAGAGGCAGGGAGGCAGGAAGGTCGGTCGTTTGATCTGCTCGTGGGTCGGCAGGTAGGTAGGTAGGCAGGCAGGCAGGCAGGCAGGCAGGCAGGTATGATTCAGAGTCTTAGCTGTCGGCCCGAGCCCGCGACCTTCGCCAATGTTGTCGCATGTATCTCAGTTGGCCGACTTGCGCAAGACTGCCGAGAAGGCACGCTTGTGGCCTTCTGCTTGCTCGGTAGAAGGGTGAGGAAACAGGATCCAGCTGCTGTGCTTGAAGACCTTGCTTCGGCTACAGGAGAAGGTTCGCCTGCGTGAAGAGAAGGAGGCCCAGGGGAGAGCCCGAGGTTTCTTCGTGTTCTGACAGCCGTGGCATGTCTTGCGGCTCAGTATCACGCTTCGGCATTTAGGGCACGGAGCATTTGCACTGGCACTTGTTGCTTCAGCTTCGTGTTCTTGCACGTGAAGTCAAGCAACAGCCAGAAAGAACACTAGCCAGACACAGCGGTGCCATGGGCGGGGCCAGATGGCCGTTCCTGCTTCTTCTGCTTGACCACGGCTGCCGAGTGGCCTCAGCAGGGGATGAGGCCCAGTGCAGCGAGTCTCTGCTTGCCTGGCAAGTGTAGTAAACATGTGTAGCTTGCCTTGAATCATAAACGCTTCTTCCGGCAGATGCAGCATCGCATGTTGGTGATCAAGCCAGGAATCCACACTGGGCTTCCTGCCACTTGGACCCATGCGGGCCGCGCCGGCAACTTTGGCAGCCTTTGTTTCCCCCTGTCGTTTGCCGAGGTTCGGCATGGGTGGGGACTATGTCTTTCCACTCATGGATTTCGTGGCATCCGAGTCAGAGGCGCGATGCGCAGATGGACTGTAATGCGGCCGGCTATAGGTGGACATTGTGTGTCCCGCTTGAAGCCAGTTGCACGTACTGCTACTGCTGAGGGCCTACCCACAAGCTCCCACAATTGTGGTTGTTTTGGCTGTGCATTACAGTGGGTCGGGTTCCTGCAAGCGCAGGACATCGACCATGAAGTCGCGCGGATTGACGCTCAATTGGCACGTGTTGGCGATGCACGGCAGCAGGCGCAGCATGGATGATTCCGGTCTGCCAGCAGATATGTAGACTGAGACTGTCAGAAGTCAGATCCGAAAGGTCGCCTAAATTCCAAGGCAAGACCCCCCACTGCCGATAAGTAAGCACATAAGCACGGGCCGGCCATCAGAAGCTCGATGGCTTTGATCCTGGCTTCGCCCTGCCAGCACGTTCGAGGGATCTTTTCAGCTCCGGAGAGTTAGCCCTCCGCCAGAGGTGGAGCAGATGGCACTGAAAATGCGAAGCTTGGCCGAAGCAAGCACCTGTCAGGCTGTTGTCTGAAATTTAAATCTCGATGGTAGAGGCATTTTATCAGGCGCAGCTCCAGCAAGAGCCGTCGAGGCTCAAAACCCTAAGCCCGAGGCGTCTAGGGCCTAGAGATTTCGGCTGCCGCAGCGATGGCAGGCTCGGTGGCATCGGCATCGCTGACATCGCTGCCAAGGGAAGTCCTGAAGTGGATCCAAAGCCTGGACCTCTCCTACAGTGTCCGAAACGTGAAGCGAGACTTCTCCAACGGATTTCTCGTAGCCGAGATCTTCTCGAGGTATCACGCGCAGGACATATCGATGCACAGCTTCGATAATGGTCTCAAGGCGGCCACAAAGAACGACAACTGGGAGCAGCTGTTCAGGTTCTTCCGCAAGCACAACTACCCCATCTCACGCATGGACTTCGATCCCGTCATGGAGAACCAGCCGGGGACTGCCGTCGCTCTTCTTATCAAGGTGTACACCTTGCTCACGAACAGGACGGTGCCGATCTTCGTCAGTGAGGATCTCCCAGACACCATGGAGGCCAGCGCTTCGCCAGGCAAGAAGGCCGTGGAGACGCTCTTGGAAGCTCCTTCCGAGATGCCCCTCGAGGAGAGCCAAAACGTGGGAGGGGACTCGGCCTCGGGTGCAGGTCCAGATGCGTACCACATCTTCCAGGCTGCCCGGCAAAAGAGGCCGGCAGAACGCTCCGTTCCCAGGGCCGTCTCGGAGCGGGGCGAAGCGATCCCTCTGGACATCCCCGAAGTCTCATCACGGTCACTGACCAGGAATGTGGCGCAGCTCCGAGCACAGCAGGCCCAGGTCATGCAGAAGAGCTCTGTATCTACAAGCCAACAGAAGGCGACTGGGGCCGAGAACGGCCCGTTGACCCCACGGCTGGGCCTGGGCATCGCGGTGAAGCCCGTGATGGACATCATGCGGCCAACGGTGGCGGCGATACTCCAGGAGGACGATCAGGTGATGAAGTCGCTTGATCCGCGTAAGGACGTCTTGGTATCGTTTATGGAGCTGTGCCGCACTCATGTGCCGCAGCCAATCGTCGTGCGTGTCTTTCACACACTGTCGGGCCAAGTGCACCAGCTGGTCGAGACTGCACTGAAGTCACCAGCTGAGTTCTGGCGCGTCTGGCGACTGCTGAGTCCCACCTTGGTGGAGTTCAGCGAGCGAAATCCAGTCTTCGAGAGCGTTGTCACCTTCTTTAAGCGACTGGGCCAGCTGATGGGTGAGGCAGATGCCATACTAACACAGCAGCTTCTGTTGGATGGCATCCTTCCGAGTCTCTCCCCACTCCTGGTGGACACTGCCGGCAAGCGGGAGCCTCTTTGCGAAGTCGTCTATGCATACACCCAGCCTCAGACTCTGGCACGGCTGAACGTGCTGCGCGGCCTGAAGGAAGGGATGGACAGCATGCCAACCTACATTTGCTGCCTTTCTTATTTGCTTCCCATGGAGCTTGAGGTGGGCTTGGATGATGAGCACCTGCTCCGTCACTACCAGTACTATGCATTGGTGGCATTGCAGAGGAAAGAGCCGAGCGTGCGGGTCGCCGGCCTCACGATGCTCCGCTCCGTTGTGCTCCAGTCGCCGAATTTCGCCCAGAATGTGTTGCAAGAGGTGCACAGCTTTGCTGGCCTCGTCCGGGATGAATGGTGGGAGGTTCAAGGTCAGCTACTTCTCCTGGCAAGCAGCCTTCTTGAGCACATGGCAGCTCTTGGCCAAGCCGATGCGGAAGTCAGTCATGTCCTGGTGAATGTCGCGGTACAGCTTCTAGAAGGTAAAGGCTCTTCGAAGATGGTGCTGCAGATCGGTCTGTGCTGTTTGGTCAAGGTCCTGAAGCCCTACCCTGCGCTGTTGCCTGCTTACGTCGCCGTCCTGCTCAGGCATCCGGCGAATTTCCGGCACCGACTGCTGGAATCCCATTCTCAGGCAATGCATGGTACGGCACCATCACGGCGAAGGCGCTATGTCATGGGCACATCTTGCCGGGTCTACGAGGAGTGCTGCATTTCCGAGCAGTGGCCTGCCGTGGATGTGGCGAGGACCTTGGCCGAGCAGTGTGGCGCCGAGAACTTGCCACACTTCGAGCCAGAACATCTCGAGGTGCTCACCTCGTGTATGCCGGCACCGGACGTTGACATTGACAACGACTGGCTTGCAGTCTTCGAGAAGGTAAAGAACTACATCTTCGTAGCCGCTTTGGACCCGGTGCTGCATACGGGAGCCGTGAACGTCATTCGCAGGTTTTGGCTTTGCCGTCCCCAGTCGCTGGCATTGAGGGCTTTGGATGCCTCCAAAAAGACACTCTTGCAGACCTTGCGCTTAAACTACAGCGACGCTGCAAATGCACAGGCGCGCGTCGAGGAGAGGGTGCTCGTCGATTTCTTGAGTGAGATGCGAGATGCGGGTGGTGCCGTTGCCCAGACGCTGCAGGGTGTCGTGGACCAGTTTCGAGAGGTGCATAATGCAGAGTTCCAGCGGTCTTCCTTGGCGAAACTCTTCGGCTAGACTCTGTGCACGAGCCGGCCCGACCAGCCTGTGGAACTTGCGAACTTCAGGGTGCATGTTCTAGTTGAGGCTTCAATCTTGTGCCTTTGTGGATTCAGATGGCTGGGCCTGCCTCTCACTTTTTGTTTCACTGTAGCTTTGGCATGGAAGGCAACGGCTTCATCATGCCCAGAAATGCACGGCACCGGGCTCCGCCACACTTTTGCAGTTATCGTATAACAAAATCGCCACAAGCGAGAAGGTCTGAAGGGCGCATGTCCACAGATTTCCAAGATATGGACCGGTAGTATCCCAATGTGTAGCTTTACGAATAGACTCTGTAGTAAGCCACTGATGATCTGCGAAGAAGCCAGGAATCATGAGGCGGAGCCGGGAGTTGCGAGGCACAATTCCCAAAGGGATTCGACCGAGCATGGTAGCGCCGCTGCTAGGACTAGGAGAGACTCGCCTCCCAGTTGACCGAGAGACCAAAGCCCTTGCGCATTTCACGCTGTCTTCTGTGGGGGGGTCTGTGGGGGGGGGGGGGGGGGCTAAAGGAATAACATCCAACCAGACCCGGGAGTTCTTGGACGAAAGCTCG